CGTGGGGGTGCAGGTGAAGATCCAGGGGCAGAACAAGGAGATGCTGGCGGCCGCCTGTCAGATGTTCCTGGGCAAGTCGGAGAGCGAGATCGCCCAGATCGCCCTGGAGACCCTGGAGGGCCACCAACGGGCCATCATGGCCCACATGACCGTGGAGGTGAGGAGGGGGCGACCACCTCCCTTCCACGAGGCCTACATCCTCATGGAATCTCCATTTCCCTATAAGCCCCACCCCCTTGGTATGAGCCACACCCCTTTTTGGAAGCCCCACCCCCAGAAAAAGTCGCACCCTGAAGCTCCACCCCCTAATGGGTGCTCTACTTCCAGAGGCTCCGCCTCTTTGTTCAAGCTCCTCCCCATGGAAGGCCTACCCCAATGGGTTCTTCACCTCATGGAAGCTCCACACCCTCCCCAGGTGGAAGCCCCACCCTTAACATGCAAGAAGCCCCGCCCCCTGTCCTGTGAAGCTACACCCCTTTGAGGACACACCCCCAGGAACGCCCCTGGTGGGAGCTCCAAGCCCTACCCTGGTGGCCCCTGCCCCCTTGGGAGACCCTGCCCCCCTTGGCCACACCCAACCTAAGCCCCGCCCCCCACATCCCACCCCCAGGAGATCTACAAGGACCGGCAGAAGTTCTCGGAGCAGGTTTTCAACGTGGCCTCGTCCGACCTGGTCAACATGGGGATCAGCGTGGTCAGCTACACCCTGAAGGACATCCACGATGACCAGGTGGTACCTGGGGGGAACAGACAGGGGACAGGGTGGGGACAAGGGTGTCAACGTGGTCAGCTACACCTTGATGGATGTCTATGGTGACTGGGTGGCACCAGAAAGGGGGATAGGGTGGAGATCTGGATGTCAACATGGTCCTCTACACTGTGAAGAACATCTACAACGACCAGAGGACATTGGGAGGAGGGCAGAGAGGGGACATAGTGGGGATAAAGGTGTCAGCATGGTCAGCTACACCCTGATGGACATCCATGGTGACACCAGGAGGACAAGAGATGGGGAATACAAGAGACATGGTAGGAAAAAGGGTATCAACGTGGCTAGTTGCGCTCTGGAGGGCATCCATGATGACTTGGGGGAGAACCAGAGAGCAGACACAAGGGGATACAGCGGGGACAAGGGTGTCAACATGGTCACCTACACCCTAAAGGACATTTACAGTGGCCAGGTGGCACCAGGGACATGGGAGGGACGTGGACATCACTGTGCTGAAGACATGAGGGCACAGGGCACTGTGGGTACAGGGACGACGGTCCGGGGATGGGGACAATCATCCAGGAATGGGGACAACCACCTGTGGATGAGAGTGACAGAAAAAGGGATGTGGGGACCGAGAGAGAGAGACGTTGGGACGGAGACAGAGGAGCAGAGACGTGGGGGTGGGGACACTGGGTGAAGGACAGGGACATCGTCCCAGGGTGGGAATGGGGTTACTGGGGTAGGGACAGAGCTTGGGGACATCCAGAAAGGGAGGGATGAGGACACCACACAGGGATGGGGCCGTTCTTGGGGCCTCCAGCGTTGGTTGGGGGAAGGGTGGCTGGAGTTGGGGTGGGATGGGGTGGGGTGATAATGTCCCCAACGTCCCCTTGTCCCCAGGACTACCTGCACTCGCTGGGGAAGGGCCGCACGGCGCAGGTCCAGCGCGACGCCCGCGTCGGGGAGGCCGAGGCCAAGCGGGACGCCGGCATCCGCGTGAGCTGTCCCCTTTGTCACCTCCGGGTCCCCCTGGGGTCACACGTGTCCCAAATGTGCCCACTTTCAACCCCATTTCCTCACTGCGGCCTCCAGGTCCCCCCCACTGTGCCAATGTCCCCCCCACTGTGCCAATGTCCCCCCCACTGTGCCAGTGTCCCCCCCCTGCTGTCACCAGGTTGTCTCCAAGGTCCCTATACATCTCCGTGTCCCCCTCCAGTGTCTCTGGTCCCCCCGGTCTCCCCACACACCACCCCGACCCCCGCTGTCCCTCCCCGTCCTCACCTGCCCCCCCCCCCTACCCCCACCCCCCCCCCTAACCCTAACCCTAACCCTAACCCTAACCCGACACCCTAACCCGACACCCTAACCCGACACCCTAACCC